GTTGATTTGTCAATGTTGGACCAAGAAAATGTTGAGTTTGTCCCCGGAAAGTTAGTCACTGTTCGAAAAGCGGGTCCAAATGGGGGAAAGAAAAAGTGCCGCGCCGTAGTTTGTGGCAACATGCTCAGCAGCGACTTGGATCCAGCTCCAGGGAGTCTCTATGCTTCAGGGGCTGATGGAATTCTCATTCGGGTAACACTGGCTCACTCGGTCGAAATGGATTGGGGCATTGGATTGGCTGATGTTCGCACAGCATTCCTCCTTGCACCTCGACCGAAACCTGTGGAAACTCGGGAGGTTATTGTTGTGCCACCAAAAATCATGGTTGAAGCTCAGGTGTGTAAACCCACGGAAAGATGGAGGGTTCACAATGCGTTATATGGATTTGGCACGTCACCAGCGCATTGGGCTGTCCACAGGGATAACACCATGTCGGGTTTCAAATGGGATCTTGGTGAAAAGCACTTGTACCTCCAAAAAACCCCCGAAGGGAACTTGTGGAAAATCATGCAACAGGGTTCAAATGGTTGTGTGGATGTTTGTGTTGGTCACGTTTTGGTTTATGTTGATGACATCATGGCACTTGCAAAAGATGATGTTAGGCAATCGTTTTTCGACCGCTTGCAAAAAGAATGGAAATGCAGTGATGTTGAAACGGTTGACCAGAACAATTGGGTGCGTTTTTGTGGGTTCGAACTGAAAAGGTATGGGGATGGGGTTAGCTTAATGGTTGGCCAAAAAAGCTATACCGCTGAACTGTTAAAAAGACATGATGGTGTTACCCCCAAAACATGTCCCATGCTGAAGTCCGAACATGAAGAACCCCTTGAAGAAAACCTTACCACCGAAGACATAAGGGCTGCTCAGGCGATCACGGGAGAACTCCTTTGGTTAGCAGGTAGGAGTAGACCCGACTTGTCATATGTGGTAGGTGCCATGGGTCGCCAAGTGTCAAAAAGACCAAAGTGGGTTCAAAAGGTAGGAGACCATGTCTTAGGGTTTTTGAGCACAACACAGGACACATGCCTGGTGTACCGCCCTTGCAGCAAGGATCACGGTGCTTTAGGTACTCTCCAGGTACCCCGACATGGACGTTTGCTGGAAGCCTTTGCAGACATCTCCTTCGCTCCGAATGGCGATCGAAGTCACCAAGGTATCATCATTTGCGCTGCTGGATCACCAATTCAGTGGGAAGCCTCTCGACAAGCATTTCATACCATGAGCACAGCGGAAGCTGAGTTGGTAGGTTACTGTGAAGCTGCCACTATGTTGAAATCAGTTGAGGCTCTCATGAAGGTCATTCACAGGTCATGTCCAAGTGATGGTTCGGTTGACGGTTCGCATGTTGACAACAGTTTTGAAAAAGTGGTTTATGGGGATAATTCCAGTGCTTTGAGCATCCTAATGAATCCGGATGGGGGGTGGAGAACAAGGCATTTACGTCTTAGGTCCTCATGTCTCCGGGAACTTTTAAGGGATGACCCTCAAAACTGGAAGGTTCGACACCAACGGGGAATCGACTTGCCTGCTGATATGTTGACCAAACCCATAGTGTTGCAAAGGGAATGGATCAAGTTTTGGCATTTGTTGGGTTTTCATGTTGACCCCGAAATCCCAAAATATGGTGAAGACAGCCCCAAAACAAAAACCAAAAACAAACCTACCGTGCCGAGCCCTGCTTCAGGACTTGAAAGTACTAAGGAAAAAACTGAGGAAACTGATGATGACCTCACCGTGAAGAAGGTCAAAGCACTGGTTTGCATTGCTGCGCTGTCTACGGCTGCTATGGCGAAGTGCTATGCATATGACCTGCGGCTGAAGTGCGCTAACCTGGTGCTGGAGCTGGCAAAGTGGCTTGCTGCTGTTTGGCATTCTCCACCTTCAAACGAAGGTTTGCCCAAAGAGGCCTGTTCAGTAGGGTGGGAGGTGGAAAAAACATCAAGAGCCATTGGCCTGAAGAAAGTCCAAAAAGCCAGGGGACACGAACCGGCTGCAACAAATCTTCCAAGGGAAAATGAACCTGGAAGATCAACCCTGAAAAATAAAACCTTGAAATGTGTGGAAGCTCCAAGGGAAAACGAACCTGGAGACAACAAGCTTGGGGAGTTTTGGGAACCTTCAAATGAAGTTTGTTGGGATCACCGTGAATACCATACCCCTCAAGAGTTTTGGGATTGTAACCCTGAAGATGAATTTGGGGATTGCGTGGCGTGGCACTCTTGTGGACAGGCGCAACATGTTTTGGAGTCCGTTGGTTGTGACTCTCCAGTTGAAAAGCATGACGTCAGTTCACGGCCACTGTTGGCCGTTAAGGACCACTGCCCCACGGGCTGCCCCAGTCGTAGTTTGGTCAAACTCGCAGCCATGGCGCCGAAGATGTCAAAGCCGAAGCCACCTGTGCCGCCGCAGGTGTTTGAACCTGCTGCTGTCGCTGCGCCGCCTGTTGCTGCTGCGCCTATGCCTGCGGCTGCTGGCCCAAAACGAAAAGCTCCACCGCTGATGCTGCTGTGTGCATCGGCTATGGGAGATGCTGCAAGCTCTGCGGGTCGTCCAAAGCAAGACCCCTACATCGGCACTTTGCCGAAGTTCCCGCCTGCGAGAAGGGAGGCTGAAAAGGCCCAGAAGAAATCTGGGGGTACGGGGCTAGATGAAATGCCTCGACATGGACCTTGGTTGGATGAAAAATACCGCCAGCCGAATACAACTGGAAAAAAGGACTCTTGGTCCGTTGCAAAATGTGGGAATGAGATCTTCCTGGTGAAGGTCCACAGAGCGCCTCGAAAACAGCGCTTCCACCCACTGCATCGCTCAGCACCTGTTGAGGCGAAGTTTTTGACAGGTGAGAGGGTTACCAAGGCCTTTTTCCTGAACCCTGCTGATGATGGTCCGGGATTTTTGGTCTCTGACAGATGGGACAATCCCGTTGTCCGGTCCGAAGCAAAATGGACTGGGTACACTTTCCTCACTATGAGGAACGAAGCTTTGGAAGGTCTGAAAATACAGCTGGAACCAGCTGATACCGCTGATGGACCTCCGTGGCCTGCTGCTCCCCCTGCAAAGGAGGACGACATGGACGTGCACGTCGGTCTTCACAGCGAAATGCTGACTCCAAGGCGCCAAAGACCCCAAAGGGAACCTGGCCTGGTAATCGGCCGTTTGTACCTGGATGGATGCTTGGCTTCGAGTGGAACTGGGACTTTGTCAAGTGCTGAGTCTCAGGAAACAAGGCTGGTACCTATGCATGACCCGACCAGCCCCTACAACAAGACTTCAGGAACTACCTCGGTGGGATACAATCGTGGTGGTGGTGGCATCATTCGACGTGGTGTTGCCGCTCTGGATCCGGCCTCTTCGAGCTCTGGATATGACCCACGACTCCCAAGGTCCTACTTGCCTCTGACAGAGGATTGGGATGTGCCGCTGGTAGAATGGGCTCTTGTCACTGATGACGAGGATGAAGAAGATGAAAACCTCAACAATGAGGAGGAAGAGCCTGCGCCTTGAGGATCTGGCTACATGCTGCTGGAGCTCTACTGAGGGCCGGAGGCTTGGTTTTGAATGTTTTCCTGAACTGCAGTAACCTGCAGGGGGGAGTGTGGTTCACCCGATCGAGCCATAACTCCATTTGCAGTTACATGTGGTCAAAGGACCATAAGGTTCAAAAGTTGGATGGCATGCAACATGGCATGACCACCTGCACAAAGATGACACGCCATTGAACAAATGGCTCAAGATGCAAGCTCTTGAAAAGATAGAGCGCGTCAGCAGCTGAGAAGTTGCACCTGTGTGAAAACCACGAAAATAAACCATATTATACCTGTATTAAATTATAATGTAAGCCAAATGTTTCATGGTCAAGACCTCTACAAGTGATGGTAGCCATCCCAATTAAATCTATGAAATCTCCACGGTCAAATCAGCAGGAAACATCCCCATCAAATCCCACTGTAAAGCCCATGAAATCCCGAACAAATACCATCTGGTTATTCAACATAGCCATGGAACATGGCCCATTTATAGTTGATTTATGATGATCTACCTATTATATTACTATATAAATAGGAAAATCATCAAAAAACGTCTATTTGATCCCAAATGACAATGATCATGAACCATTCAGCTGTGAAATCCCATCGAAATAGCATTTTTTTTTAATACCAAATGGCAATGAAAATCTTGCCTTTGCTTAAATACCAGCTCGCCCAAAATTCAAAGATCTTCCCTGTGGAATTGGGAAAATGACGAATTTCCCAGGGAAAAATAGACAATTTTCACCTTAAGATGGTCAATCTTTGGTCAAAAAACATGAGATTTGCTGGTCATAGTTATCTTCCATTTGCAAGAAACTGAAGGGTTAAACTACCTATTCCCTATCCTTCTGGTGCAGGATGTACTGCGACGAATAAGTAAATGGTGATCATTTATCAGTTCTATTCACCTATATTTTATCCCCATATTTTGATGGTAAAAAATACCTACTGAATTAAACCACATCTATAACTACATGAAACCTAATATCATGCTTATATTTATTGATGGTATATATATATATTTTTTTAATACCTATATTTGATGGTTAATAATCGCACGAAGGTTGGCTTAGAATAATAAACCCAGCAGAATTTAGATTTATAGTGACCCAAACTCCCAAATATACCTCTGGTAATTTAACATAGCTATTGAAAATTGCCAATTTCAATAGTGGATTTACCCATTGAACATTGTGATTTTCCATAGTTATGTGACAGTTTACCAGAGGGTACTTGTAGTGGAAAAAATCAGGATATTTTTTCCATCCTGGTTAGGGATTTTGGATCATGAACCGACCAAAATCCATCAATATTGGGATGATAAATCAGCGATAAAAACCAATTAAAGCACCATTTTTCTTGATGAAATCACACTATTCGTATGCTTTTCCTATGCTTTTCCCATGGTTTTCCTCTGGTTTTCCTCTGCTTTTCCTATAAACCCCGGCCAGTTTCATGCGACACAGCGACGGTTGCGCAGCTCGTCCACGCCCCGCTCGGGGAAGAAGGTGATATTGGCGAACTGTGGCAAGACATGGTGATTTTATGGCAATTCAATGGTGATTTGATGGGATTTCATATGTTTTCATGGGATTTGGATGTGGCAAGACATTTTGGTGGATTTTTATGATGGAAAATGGTGATTTGATGGGATTTCATCATGGTTTTCATGGGATTTGGAATGGTTTTTAGTAATGATTTAAGATAGGTTAGTATGGTTTTGTTGGAGGATACTTGTTATGTTTAATGATAGGATGGTTTCAAATAGGATTTAACAATGGTTGATTAAATGGGATTTAACACCATCATTAAACATATGGGATTTCATATGGTTTATCATTGTCATTAATAATGTTAGGTCTTCTATGGGATGTTTCATATGGTGTTAGATGATTTAAATCATGTTTAATATTGGTTCATGGGATTTAATAATGGTCTTCTATGGGATGCTTAATGATGGATTCAATGAGATTTCATATGATTTTCTATGGGATTTAATGGGGTGTTTCATATTGGATAAAGTGATGTTTGCTCATCCTTCAACAACTGGATTTATCAAAAAACGGACATGATGAAAACATATTTGCTCATCCTTAAACTATGATTTGACAATCGTTTAAATTTTGAGATGATCCAAGATAGATTAATATGATTTAATATGGTGACTTGGAGGATCATTCCACATATCGTAGGTGAGTAACTAGAGTTACAAGCCGTTCATAGATGGAACATATGATTGGAAAATAACTGATGAGTGATGATGTAATATGATTTAATATGACTGGTGGTTTTAAATATGTTTTAGCATGGTTTCATTCTGTTTTAGTGTGCTTTCATAGGAATCATCATGGGATCATGGGATATTACCGGCACCTGGCCGGTTCGGCTTTCCGCAACAGCGGGACTGGGGCGGGTGAAACTTGCTTAGTAATAAAAACGGAATACACACATGGTATAGGTTAACTTTTTTCCTTTTGTATCCTGATACCTAGTTTTTTTTGGTTAAACTTACACAAAAGGATACAAAAGGAATATCGGTTTAACCTAGCAAACTTGGGAGTGATTTGTTGATGTGTGAACATGTGATTCATGATAGCTAAGTTATGCTAAGTTGGTAAAAATACACCACAAATTAATGCCGGACAATTCAGGCGGATCTACGATTGAAGCGTCAACTGTGGGATTCTGCGATTTTTTCGGTTTTGTCATGGGGGTACCCCCACTCATCATCCATTTTAGATTGGGATTTTACATGCGATAAAGGGGTACCCCCATTTATGGAAACACCCATATTGTGATAAGTAGAACTCCAAGAACTCTGAGGGCTCCTGGATCAAGCTAGGGACATGAGTCAGAAACAATGTTCATGGCAACTGCATGCCTGAATTATCGGAAAGGCAAGGCTGTTCGAACACAACTGAAACTGCTTGGTGGTATACCTACCCCTCTGAAAAATGATGGAGTTCGTCAGTTGGGGTTATGACATTCCCAATATATGGAAAGTCATAAAATTCCATGGTTCATCATGGTTCCAAACCACCAATCAGATAATACCATATATGGAAAAACTTACGTTTCCAACCATCCTAACAGCTTGGATGTGCATCGATTTTTTTGGGTGGTAGTCCCATCATATCTTTAGGGATGGAGTCCCAATTTTTAGCTGGGCCTCTCGCTGCTTGAATCATCATCGCCACTGGTATCATTGGTTGCATCCACTGGTATCATTGGTTACCTGAAACTTGGAAGAATATGCCACTCAGTAACTGCTAAATAACCCAAGTATGTCCCCTAAGTGAGTCAACTCATGTATAAATGGGTTATAAGTGATACCCTCTGGTAATTTAACATAGCTATTGAACATGTCACTTTTTAATCGGAAAATCAACTATTTCTATGGCCATTTTCAAGTTCGCAAAGTGTTAAATTAATAGAGTGTACATCCCAGGAAATCCCTCATTTGTTGCTGGTTGAACCACTCATTTGGACCATTCTTGACCCCAACATCCTGCCACCCGTGGCGCGCGCCATAGAAAGCACCACACCGAGCATGACGTCCAGCATTCGTCGCTGCGCTAAACGCGCCACTTCCTCGAGGTCTTCGACCTCCTCATGGATCGGTGGCGAACTACCCACGGATCGTAAATGGGTTATAGCCCTGGTTGTTTCTATGGAATAAGTAGGGAGATTTCATTGAAAAAATTGGGGTTGTAACCCACTCACTCGAGCCGTGAACCAAGTAGGTGCTGAAGAGTTTGCAGCAAGTGGGGTCTTCAAGAGGTCTGGCTTTTTCAAACGTTGTTTCACATGTTTGGTGGGTTTCTTCGTTACTCTTTTTAGTTGTGCGTGTGTCTTTTGTGCTTTTTTCCGGATATATGTTTGATTCTTTTTGTTTGGCTGTTTAGTTTGTTTTTTAAGTAAGAAAAGCATTACGGTTGTTTAGAATGGACATTCAGGGTTTATTACTTAGATGAACCATGGTTAGTTTGTCAGCTGGTGATGGTAACTGGATTATATCATATCCCATGTCATCCGGTGCGAAGCTCAAATCGTGACGTGTGACCCCGGCACTTGGGCTGGCCACGCGAAGTCATACACGTTGATTGCCAGGCTGGGTAGGATTTCACAGAACCCCTGGGACTCAAGGTGAAGATTTCTTGTCCTCCTATAGGTTTTGCCATGTTAGCTGTGCACCAACAGCAGCTTCAGGGTTTCAGGGCCAAAAGACAACAACAAAACATCAGAACTCGGCCCATCGCAGTCATCGCAGTCTCGTCCTGGAACTTGAACAGGAGTCCGTCGCGTCGCACAGAACGGTTCACTGAACGGATTATTGATATCCTATGGTCAAATGGTTAGTAAAAGCCAAAAATAGGGGATGTAATCCAATTACTAACCATTTTGGGATATTTCTGTTGGTTCATAGAAATCCCCAAAATGGGTGAAAGATGGAGTTGTACTAGATGTTTCATCTAGTTTCTAGTCATCCGAGCTTTGGAACATCCCAAAGCAAGCCTTTCAAGACCGCCGAGTGTTTCCCTTGCGCATGGCGCATGATGAAGTTGGGTTAAGGTCTAAACCATCCGGATCATCCCCATCAAGCAAAACTTGGCCACACAATCATCCTCCCAGAGATGCTGCAAATGACTTTTTCAAAACCCCTAAAATGGATCCACTTAAAACATCTGGTTGGTGGTGCAATAACCATCTTGAAAAATATGAGTCAATGGGAAGGATTATCCCAATTATCCCATATATTCTGGAAAAATGTTTGAAACCACCAACCAGACATGTTTTCTAATCACCAAAGCCTAGGTTTGCCCGCGGCGAATCCCTCATATCCTTTGACATGCTCAAATCCCTGTGTAGGGTTTGAGTTTTTTACTTTCCAAAACAACAAACCCTAAAACCCCAAACCCCTAAAACCCCACACCCTAAACTCAAACCCTAAGTCCTGAAACTCAAAGACAAAATCACTGCGTGATCCGCCAGTGCTTTCATTCATCCTCTGGTGATAAGTATATCATATTGTTTGGATGTGTCCAACCCAGGGTTGGAACATGTTTTTTGTTATCACCAGCAGCGATTGCACAAAATCATCCCAGTCCCGGGATTTTGAGAACGGGGGCCCTGGGAGACAAAACATCAAATCATTCCCCAAATCAGAGAGGCAAACCCCATTTTTTGGGCACTATGGTTTAGAAAATATTCTGTTCATCTGTTCCGATTTTTCATTTTCTTTGTGATTTTAGACACCGCTTGGATTTGCTTAAGGAACTCCCAAAAAATAACCGATATTCCCTGAATCGATTCTCCATTTCAAACGGATGTCCCATCGGAAAATAACCAAGTCATCGGCTCAGCAATTTGAGGTTTTACCAATGATGACATTCCATGACATTCCCAGTCAACTGGTTGGTGGTTGAGCCACCCCTCTGAAAAATGATGGAGTGAAAGTCAGTTCGGATGATGACATTCCCAATATGATGGGAAAAATAAACCAAATGTTCCAAACCATCAACCAGATAAATCCCTAGAACATCCCTAGAAAATCACTGGAAAATCCCTAGAAAATCACTGGAAAATCCCTAGAAAATCCCTATAAACCATACCAATTCATCTTGTTCTTGGTTTGTGTAACCCCCCATAAGAATCATCTGACGCAGCAAATTTCCCTGGATTGGTTGAAGGGACAATCTTAAATGGAAACCCATGGGTTTTCCCCATGACACAGTAGGGGTTTCCATATAACTGGGTACCCCAAAATGATGAAATGGATTGTTTATTTCATGGAACATCCTTCTATAAATGGATGATGACTGGGGGTACCCCCATGACATCCCATGACTTATAAGAAACCTCCATAATATAGGGGTTTCCTGTCATTTTTTTCCCGGAAAACCAATGGACATTTCCCACCCTTTTGATATCGCCGGGCGTCTGGATTGTTTGTATCCGCCAGGGTGGTCAAAACCATCAACTCAGCGTGCATGGTTTTGGAAGGCGATGGGAGACGATAATCCCGAAACGGGGGTGGTAGTTGCGCTACCCTGAAAAGTATATGAAAGAGTGTGAATGTCAATTCAAATCTTCATTCCGCATATGGGTGAAAATACACCATGTTTGACACCCGAAGGTATAGGAGATACTGATGACATGCGTGGCCGAAAAGAAACCCAGGGATCTGCGACAGAAGTCACTGGATGGGTTGTCTTTCCAGGTTATGATTATTTATGATTTGATACTTAAATGGTACCTTCCCAATTAAACAGCCTAGGGGTTTACTAATCCAGGGTTGACATTATATCTCTATGATCCTCTATGATTGGAAAAAAAACCGGCTTGTGTTGAAAGTCTCCATGCTGGATCTATCTGGTTGCCACCCAATCTGGTTGGTGCTTTGGAACTTACAAGGTGGTGCCCCCGTTCGATAGCTAAGTTGGTTTATAACTCCAATAACTATGGTTTATAGGTGATATATCTATAGTTAATGGGATTATAAACCAACTTATGACTTGGGGGGGCACCACCTTGTAGATCCCTGGTTGGCAGAGGAACAGGATGCTGTCCCTGGACCCTGAGCCATTGGCAAAGAATTTCTAGCTTGACATTGGCAAAGATTCGGAAAGGCATCACAAAGGAGCATCAAAAAACATGAAAGCCGCCAGTTTCCAAGATGGCTCCTTCAAAGTCGTCAAAGCCCAACATCCGTTGAACATGTACAATGTGAGGCCCCCAAGATAGCTAAGTTGGTTTATAAACCCTATTAGCTATAGTTATGTACCATAAACCATAGTTATTGGAGGTATGCTCACCAACTTTGCGATTTCGTTACGGGTTTCCCACATTGTAGGATAGCATCGAGGGGGGTCACTGACCGAAGAAGCCAGGGAAGCATTCATACTGTATTTTTGTTCCTGTCTCTTGTCGTGCCGACTATACTGCCTACCCAGCTATATATATATACAATCTAAGCATGCTCATTGCTACTTGCTGCCTCACCGTCATTGGAGTCATCATCAGAGCTGCCACTGGAGGAACTGATTTCCAAAAAGCCTGCCCTCATCGCTCTGTCGCATCTATCGGTGAGCTTGTTGCACAACTCGGTCAAATCTTGGATGCGAACATCTCGGTCTTGAATCACATCATTCTTGGCTTTGATAAACCTTTGGGTCCACTCCAATTGTTTGCGCAGCTTTTCGATGCTCTCTGACTGGGCGTTTATTTTCTCCTTGATCCGCCACTCGCTTAGCGAGGGCCGTGGCTCACCACGGCCAGGTACCACGGAGTGTACGGGTCCTCCATGCGCTCAATCTGATGAGGAGCTACATCTTCATCTGGTTAATCTACTGTTATTAATGGTTAATGATATGGTTAATCTACTGTTAGTAATAGTTAATGATATGGTTAATCTACTGTTATTAATGGTTAATAATATGGTTAATATATTGTTATTAATGGTTAATGATATGGTTAATCTACTGTCATTAATAGTTAATGATATGGTTAATATAATGTTATTAATGGTGAATAACATGGTCAAAATACTGTTATTAATGGTTAATGATATGGTTAATAAAATGTTATTAATGGTGAATAACATGGTCAATAAACTGTTATTAACGGTTAATGATATGGTTAATATACTGTTATTAATGGTTAATAAGATGGTTAATATACTGTTATTAATGGTTAATGATATGGTTAATCTACTGTCATTAATAGTTAATGATATGGTTAATATAATGTTATTAATGGTGAATAACATGGTCAAAATACTGTTATTAATGGTTAATGATATGGTTAATATATTGTTATTAACGGTTAATAAGATGGTTAATATACTGTTATTGATGGTTAATGACATGGTTAATCTACTGTTATTAATGATTAATGATATGGTTAATATACTGTTATTAATAGCTAATGATATGGTTAATATACTGTTATTAATGGTGAATAACATTGTCGATATACTGTTATTAACGGTTAATGATATGGTTAATATACTGTTATTAATGGTTAGTAAGATGGTTAATATACTGTTATTGATGGTTAATGATATGGTTAATCTACTGTTATTAACGATTAATGATATGGTTAATATACTGTTATTAATAGCTAATGATATGGTTAATATACTGTTATTAATGATTAATGATATGGTTAATATACTGTTATTAATAGCTAATGATATGGTTAATATACTGTTATTAATGGCTAATAACATGGTCAATATACTGTTATTCATGGTTAATGATATGGTTAATAATATGGTTGCTATATGGTTAATGATGGTTAGTAATAATCTGGTTGGTGGTTTCAACCTACCCCTCTGAAAAATGATGGAGTGAAAGTCAGTTGGGATAAAATGACATTCCAACTGAATGGAAAGTCATAAAATTCCATGGTTCCAAACCGCCAACTAGTCGTAATCTGAAAGGGGAATTTGACAAGATATGGATAGGACAAGTCCTGAATGACAAAGATTTACAAGGTCTGTTGGCCAACATGTGAGACACACCTGCACCACTCGAACGTACCCTTATCTTAGGATATCTTAAGGTCTCCACAAACACCAGCTTTTTGGCTTCCACTGGCGACTCCGCCCCCCGCATCCAGCCCAAGTTTTCATGTGAGAGACATAGGTCACGATGTTGACCTGAGTCTGTGCGAATGGGTTGTGGGGTCTCATGGTCTCAAGATGTCCCAGTTGTGAGGGTATTTTACTAGTCACTTTCAGGATCGGCGCAAAAATGGACAGATCCTTTTTTTGTAGACACCATCTCATGTTGTACAATTTTTTTGAGCTATCCCAACTGGTTGGTGGTTTCAACCCCTCTGAAAAATATTAGTCAGGTGGGATTATTATTCCCAATATATGGAAAAAAAAGATTCATGTTCCAAACCACCAACCAGCCAAAAGTCTTTGAAGTGGGTGTTTTTCATCTCATGCCATCCATCTGGTATGGTGAATTTGACTGATCTGGTCTCTGCCAGGACTGGATCACCACTGAATAGATCTAAAACCAGACCTCAGTTTTCTCTGGAGGCTATTTAACTTGAATTTGTCTCAAAAAACCGCCCAGCAAAATCAATGACATTCCCTCAATGTTTCTAATTGCGAAAAAAGATTCCCGATTTCTAGTGGATTTCCTGTGAAAACTTCACAGATCAACTCAGCGAATCCAGGTTTAAAGTTGGGGGACGGGACTAAATGGGCTAACAGCTCATGTTTTGAACGAGAAATCTTCAGTGTGCGCTTCTCATCTCGCATTTTTTAGCATCTCCGAGCGACCGAAAGGTGCTTCGGAAGCACTGGAAATATTTGACATATGTGTTGGTCAACACAAGGTGGTGACCCAGTTAGCCAAGTAGCTTTCTGACTAGATCAAAAAGGATGTATGGTACAAGGTGGTGCCCCCGTTCGATAGCTAAGTTGGTGAACATACCTCCAATAACTATGGTTTATAGGTGATATATCTATAGTTAATGGGCTTATAAGCAATTTATAACTGGGTGGGCACCACCTTGTAGAAGTATCGAATGAGTTAATGGGGCTGAACAAAAACCATCCTATAACTGGCGGACATCTCCTACAAGGAGGTCATCACATATTTTCCATGCCTTTCCATGTCCTTGCAAGGTCGACCATATCAGGATACGAGCTTATACGATAACTGCTTGGTGCTATACCTCCCCCTCTGAAAATTGATGGAGTTCGTCAGATGGGATTATTAATTATTCACAATATGTGGAGTCGTAAAATTCCATGGTTCCAAACCACCAAGCAGATAAATCACTTAATCCCTAGAAAATCCCTAGAAAATCCCTAGAAAATCCCTAGAAAATCCCTAGAAAATATATAAAGCACTGGGGAACTAGCCATGGGTATCTTCACTGCATTGGTTTTTCAGGGACATCTTTTTTCCGGACACCCATGGCTTTTCCCCATGACTTCTGTAGGGCTTTCCGGTGAACATTTTCCGACCAATCCAGTGAATTTTTGACATGCTATAAGCCCCATTTATGGAATGAGAAGTTGATAAAAATCACCATTTATAGCTGGTTGGTGGTGCAATTTCACCATCTTGAAAAATGATGGAGTTCGTCAATGGGAAGGATTATCCCATGTATGAAATGGAAAATAAACAACTTGAGAGGGGGAACACGAAAGGTAGGTAAGCAAGAAAGGAACCGAAGAAAAAATGAAGGGGAGAGGGGAGGGAAAAATACATAAAGTGGAGTCTGCTAAAAGCGACGCGGCCATTTTCTTTCCAAAAATATGAAGGGGAGTCTGGTAAAAGCGACTGAAAGGCTTCGGCGATGTGGTTGGGGTTGGTGGTGGTTGTGGTGTTGGTGGTGTTGGTGGTGCTGGTGGTGTTGGTGTTGTTGGTGTTGTTGGTATTGGTGTTGTTGGTGTTGTTGGTGGTGGTAGTGTTTCTGGTGTTGTTAGTGTTGTTAGTGTTGTTAGTGTTGTTGGTGTGGTTGGGTTTGTTGGTGGTGTTGGTGGTGTTGGTCGTGTTGTTGGTGTTGGTATTGTTCGTGTTCGTGTTGTTGTTGTTGTTGTTGCTGTTGCTGTTGCTGTTGCTGTTGTTGCTGCTGCTGCTGTTGATGGTGTTGTTGTTGTTGTTGTGTTGTTGTGTGTTGTTGTGTGTTGTTGTGTGTTGTTGTGTGTTGTTGTGTGTTGTTGTGTGTTGTTGTGTGTTGTTGTGTGTTGTTGTGTGTGTTGTTGTGTGTTGTTGTGTGTTGTTGTGTTGTTGTGTGTTGTTGTGTGTTGTTGTGTGTTGTTGTGTGTTGTTGTGTGTTGTTGTGTGTTGTTGTGTGTTGTTGTGTGTTGTTGTGTGTGTGTTGTTGTGTGTTGTTGTGTGTTGTTGTGTGTGTTGTTGTGTGTTGTTGTGTGTTGTTGTGTGTTGTTGTGTGTTGTTGTGTGTTGTTGTGTGTTGTTGTGTGTTGTTGTGTGTTGTTGTGTGTGGTGTG